GATGAATTGTCATAAGTTTAGGTTGCAATATGATTCAGGGATCGATTCTTTTTGTTTATTATTTTCTCATTTGTAGTGATTCTCCTTCGTCGTCTATCCTTTTCCGTCTCATTCTGTCCATTCACCCAAATGTAGCAATGGTAAAAAATTTGCATACATCAATTTGTAAGTGCACAATCGGATGTATCCATCATGAGCGAAAGAACGGTTACTTAATGGGATGAATGCATTGCTGCTTGCCTAGTACAGTCTCCACAATGACAGTTTCATTATAAATAATCACCACCATCCTACATTTATGAATTGACAAATTTCTGCGACTTCAATTCAAATGACCAATTATCTAGTCATTCTGTGATATTAACGAGTAGTGTCACAATGAAGCAAAGTGGCTGAAATTAAACCAGGCAAGCTTCAAATGAGTCTCATTGTGTTTAGTTTACCTTTTCCTGCTTTGTGTCATATATATCCTTATTATGCCTGTCACAAAATCACACAATCTTGTAGGATATTGAAAGGCAAGCAGGGTTGAGCCTGGATAGTGTTTGGATGGGCAATCACCACGTTATGTTATGGGCAGCAGAAGTAAGTGCAGCAGAATCAAATATTTTACTGGTCTTCTATGGTCCTACCATCTGTTCTCCCCATCTTCACCAACCCGAACTGATCAGCGTGATGAATTATGTTTAAACAAAAAAAAAACACATGACCAATATAGCCTGGGGAGGCCCTCATCCAGCAGTGGATTACCTAAATGGCTGTCCATGTATGTGTACATATCATTATTTCGATATCTTTTTAATTCTTCTTCTCATGGGTATCGAAGTTTGACTCTGAGTTTTAGGCATGTCCACTGAAATGTGAATCGTGAGTTTTGCTGAAAGATGCTGGAGAGCATCCAACTTGGGATATTTCGGCCTCTTCCGTGTTGGCATTTTAACGCTAAAAACTGAAAGGTGCAGAGTAGCGGTTGTGGTAAAGCAAAAAAAACGGTCTTTGATGTTGAAACGAACACTGTGCCACGGGGTAACCACGTGTACAAAAGCAGGATTGGATTTACTCTTGTCAAAGTGGAAAAAAAGCTGGCAAGGCAGTCTAATAAGAAGAGAGCCGGCATTTTTTTGTTATAGAATTTTGACTGTACGAAGAAATGCAAACGCACATATAAAAGAGAGGCACGCCGAGCCCTTCAGCTCATTACTACACCCGTGTGTTGCGCACTTTAAATAGTCATGCTGGTGTTCAACGTGACGTTTTAGTTTTTAAATAACATTGTTCGTGGAGTAAATATATATTTTTCAAAATGTATTATATTTCAAAACATTTATCGAAAAGAATAACGTCTGAAAACGAGAGAGAGAGAGAGCGCAAGGTCTCCGCTTTGTCGAGCAACAAACAAGGTGACACACGCCCAAGGGCACGGGGTCACCAACAGTCAGTCCCATCACGTGCTCCGCTTGTGGCGACCTTGCACTCTGTGGCCGAGTCTGGCTTCGAGAGGTTTTATAGTCTCTGTCGGGGAGCGGTAGCGTAGCGGTTTACGCACGGCGCTATGAACCCGGTGGCCCGAGTTCGATTCCCGCTCACGGGCGGACACCAGTGAAGATTATTTGAACCGGTTCTTGGGCCTTTGCTAGCTCGACTCGGCCTCAAATGAGTACCCGGTGCGGTGTTTAAACGTCGCCACTTGGGAGACAAAGGCGGCCGGGCGTGGTGCTGGCCACCCACCTCCTCGTGTGCCGTGCCGTCCTTCTTAGGTGCTCCCTAACAGTAATTGCCCCAACAGTTCGTTAAGGGGAATCTTTGTCTTGTTCGCTACAGTTGGTAAATACATTTGAGTGGGCGAATCCCTGTGGGCCCCTAGGCCACCTTGCGCTACACACACTTCAGTAGGAATGCATTACAATGAGTGGCAGCTCCTGAAGGGTGTGAGGCTGGACAGACAGAGTTGGGAGACACGGTTACTCCCGAAGGGCCGTCAACTCCCTCCCCACGCAGGCACCTCCGTGCTGCAGCCTCCAAACGTGAAGGCGATGTCACCCACGACAGCGGTGGCATGGCCGTGTCGAGCACTCGGTGGTGACCCTTTGACTTCCTGCTCAACCCACTGGCCGCTCACCAGTGCCATCGTTGGGCTCGGGCTCTGTGCAAGCGAGAAAGACAAATGATGAATAAATGGATGTCTTAGCCATTAAGATTATATGCACCAATTAACGACTTCCTACTTCAGGCACAATTGGTACGTCGGTCAAAGTATGCACACGACACACATGTATAAAACACACAAGGGAAAATCACTAGTGATGCAACGCAGCATTATGTAATGTGCTGGCCATACATATGATTAAATATTAACATTCAAGTTACCGTCATATGTTATCAACTCGCTCGTAATCCCCGATGTCGAAGCAGCACGTTCTATATAATTGAGGGTTGTTAAGACGATAACCGTTAACCCGTTTTGAAAGGGACCCATCATCATTTCCACAGGTGATTTTAGACATGAATGCACCGATTGCAATGCGCAGATGGTCCCCACCTCCGATTAGCACGGTTGGCTACGTACGATGCAAAAGAAGTTCAACATATACATGCAAACATTGGAATATACCTCCAGAACATAGTGCTGCCGCCTTGTTAAAAGAAAGAAAGAATATATAAGTGCCTTGAAAGCAAAACTATTCATCAAAGGCGACATTACGCAATGGTCCTAATGCATGGCACAATGTCTCCAAGCCAGTGGTGGAAATTACACATTTGTGGCCATCCATTTAGTACGTACGCATGGAGGGGGGGGGGGTTAACCCAAATGCGTAGCTTGCGTATGGGGGGGTCTACTGACAATGTATGTACGTATAGGAAACGGGAGGGGGGGTGAAGCCTCGATAATAATTTGTCTACATTGGCCTTCAAATGAGTTAGATAGTCCGACGGTGGACTATCTTTTTGCTTAAACACGTTAGTATTATTAATCCTTGATCGTTTCTGCGTGGATTAAATATCGGCCGTCCTGTAGGATTCGGGGGGAGGGGTGTCAGGCGTACGTACGCAGGTGGGGTGGGGTGGTGTAAAAATTTCGCGTGCGTACATGGAGATGGGGAGGGATTACGTTTTCACGGATTTTTGTTCGTACCTACTAAATGTATGGCCCCATACTATATCTGGTACGAGTCTATACGGAGCATCTTACAATAGGATACGCTACTTTAAAACAATTATACAACGGTGCCTCTCTAATAGTTACAATAAGCCTCCTTGCCAGGAATTACCTATTCTCTCCTGCGCATTGCCTCAACTCTTTACATGTTTTGTGTTGTTGCTCACAATTACACTGGTATTTAACGCCAAACAACAGCATTCGCTGATTAAGTGGCGCCGACGTCACCGCGGCGCTTCGTGCCAGGCTAGGTGCACATCGAGGCTGTCACGTGAAGTGCCGAAGGCCTCACTGACAGGAGGTCATTGGCCAGATGTCGTGGAACGGTGTGAAAGTCTTCACGCTTTATAAATGGGCCCCCCCATTTATTTCGCTGGAACAGAGGCGGGAGGATTTAAGAAAAGTGTCCAGCGTCCTCATAAACTATTCACACCGCCAACTGCGGCAACATCCATCAGGTAACATCCATCACGCTAAACAACAGCACCAAAGACTTTTTTTTACAACAGTCTTTAAGCGATAATGTGTCACTTAATATAGGTTAGATATTTTGATTTAAAGTTTTCGTGACTGCAGGGATTCATATTCTTGGTTCTTTCGGTAAAGTCACGTTGAAGGGAAACAATAAAATAAGAATAAAAAATACAAAACAATACAATTCTCACGACGTTTCGATTGCAACACAAGCAATCATCATCAGGTGTGAAAACCACAGCAAGAAAATTTGCACGAAAATTTGCTGTGGTTTTCACACCTGATAATGATTGCTTGTGTTGCAGTCGAAATGTCGTGATAATTTTATTGTTTTATATTTTTTTAATTTTGTTTCCCTTCTACGTGACTTTACGGAAAGAACCAAGAATATAGGTTAGATATTGTAAAGAAACCCCGTTTGACAATTCGTGTAAGTTAAACGTAGAATATTCCCGTGTGCTGTTTAACGCGTCGAATAAAATAATATTAGTCACTTATACCATACCTGCCAACCCCTTATGGGTGCCCTACTTTATTACAGAACAATTCAGACCTTATTGATCACTCCGTGGCCCTTATAAATATCAATGTTCGTCCTGGAAAGCTCGAATTTAAACAAACTACACGCCGCATGCCCCTGTTGTTATACCAGCAGTCCTCACAACTATCACAATACACATTCTTGGTTCTTTCGGTAAAGTCACGTAGAAGGGAAATAATAAAATAATAAAATAATAATGCAATTATCACGACGATTATATCACAATATCACAATACAGTTTACAAACTACAACAACAGTACAGGGCAATCATTTAAATACACGGTCGAAATTACAAGTTGTAATTCTCATTCAAAATTATACAATTAAATTACCTCAAGAATTCAACAGATCTAACCTATAAATTACCAGATAATTTATATGCGTGACGGGCAAAAACAGATAAAACATTTCGCTAAACAGTTCAAACATTACCTTTAATGAGCTCTTTCGTTTTACCGCTCGCCCTGCTTGTGCTACTTTCAAAAATAAAACCTTTATAGTTGCACACAAATGTTATTTTAAGATATGCAACAATTATAATAAACGACAATCTTTCTCACTAACACAATCTTTTTACTCCAACGCTGTCGACTGTGGATGCGAGGGGCGGGGCCGCGTGCTGTGTGGGGGGGGGTGGGGGCAGCGGGGGGCGGGGATCGGCGTCCCAGCGTTGCTAAGCAACATTCGACGTACGTCATCCGCAGGCAACCCCCGTGACGTCACGCGCAACACGCCAACTCGCGAGAGATGACGTCACCGCCGAAGTATATTCATCGGTTTGGTGGCTCTGATTAGTGACGTCATCCCGCAACACGGTTTTTTTTGCAATGAACGTCACAACAAAAAACACAGCGGCGATGACGTAATTTTCTCCGACGCGGAGATGAGGCGTTAACACGCGCGGGTGACGTCACGCCGCCGGCCCAGACGGAGAAGTTCGCTTACAATAGCGGAGGCGGGCAGGAGGTAGCGGGTATTGATTTTATCCGCCGCTGAAGATGATGATAATATGACGCAAGGCAAGAAAAAGAAGAGGGTAAATCGCAGCGTGATGCTCGCCAAAAAACTCATCATCAAGGAGGGCGGCGCGGTGAGTTTTCGATGGAGGGTTCGGGATCTGCCGAGTAGGCCGCAAGAGAGACGACGGTCTAGGCTAGATTCTCCGCCCGGTGACGGTGGGACTTAAGCGGCAAGGGAACCCCAGGCCGCATCGGTCGCGGAACGAGGGGCGATGGAAATTAGTGTAAATGTGTGATTTTTTTTTATTCATTGCGGTTGTGATCGAGGTTTTACCACCGTGGGAGATGGAGCGGTGAGATCCCCTCGTGTGTGCAGCTGCTCGGTCATGTGTTGCGTCGCAGGACCGTGACAGATGACGACTTATGGGAAACATCTAGCAGTGGATTGACCATGTCTGACGACGGTGATAATAGTGGCTATGTTTAATGCGCTCTTGCGCGATTTGTGGCGGCGCGTAGGTTGTAGTGCTGTTTCGGTTAAAGGGTAATCATGTGCGGATGTTTACTGTGATTCCATATGTTTTCGTCTATAGGAGCGATGCGTACTGTACTTAGTTAATGATTCTCATGTTTTGTTAATAATGAACAACAAGCCAGTAATAGCCGAACGAACCCATATTGCGTGAAATCTTTCTCATTCGCCTTGATTTATTTCGTGTCAGCCGTTGACCGAATCACACGGAATTTCGCTCGATCTCGTCGTATCTCAGACGTTCAGCAGGGTTTTGCCTGGATAGTGTTGCAATGGGTACCACCATGCACAAGGTGTCAATTGGGCCTTGGGGCAGAAGAGGGCAAAACCCATTGTACTTTACTTCTATGCTCCCATAGATATGCTTAACGCTTTCACCAACTCGCACGGGTTCGGCGTGAATTTTGGTGAAATAATCTTCAAGGCTGATCCGGCGTGGCGGGGCACTATCGAAACTGAAGAGGGACCATTACCTGTTAAATATTGTTCCGTTAAAGATGTAGTTGGTAAGATCTTATATTTATGACAATACAGCCATACTTAATCAGACTGTACACTGCTGGATGAAGGCCTCTACAGATCATTCCCATCCCACGCAGTCCCGTGATGCCAGAGTCCACTCCCTGCTGCAAATTAGAAGATCCCATTGCTCCATCTCCCCGTTGTCATTCCCCTGCCATTATTGCTTCTTCTCCTTTGGCTGCCGTTCCATCACCAGTCCAGTATTGTCCTCTGGCCATCAATCCATCTGTTAATGTGCCCTACTCATCAATCCCAGTTACATTTCTGAGCGTTTAATGTTTTTCGAATAATGATTTGTTATCTGATCCATGTGTTCCTCTCTGTCTCTAATTCTAAGTATGAATTTATCCATACTTTTCCGTTTTTGTGTATTTATTAGTTTTAGTTATGTCAGTGTCCGTGCTACTGATTGATATGTCATGGACGGTAATATACACGTATTGTAACCTAAACATATTATGTGGTGATGTTGCATTGACAATGGCACAAGCACGTACATAGCACGATGTATTTGCTATGAAGAAGGGCCATTTCCTGGAACGTCGCCTATTATATATTTTTATTTACGTGCAGTCTTATTTACAAATGTGCTGAGATTATTTTGTTGATTGAAACCTTTGGGTTTTCAAGCACATTCGTATGTTGCTTTTAGTTATTATTATTTTTTACAAACGCATCCCATACTGCTATCATCCACCTCTTATGTAATCATTTTGACCCAGAGCCACTGTTGGTAATAGCCGTAGGTACACATTTCTGTGATTTCCAGTTGCGGCCCTCCAGTATAAATGAATCTTTCTGTACGTGACTTTTGTACGGCTCAAAATATGTTGAGCCTAACTTTTCAGCCTTCATTGTTTAATTGTTTTATTCTTTAATTTACAATTTACTTCCATTATTTGATTTAATTACTTTGTCATCAGCAAATTTGGAATGGTTAATCCATTCTCTTTTTGTATTTATGCCTTTTATTTCCCCAATAATTTTTTTTGAAAATATCTTATAAGTTGCTGTAACGTATCACTTTCTCCATGCAACCGAAGTGTATCTCCCATATTTGTAAATGGTTTTCAGAAGTTAACGTAAGTTTTATTGAGGCCTTGTTTATGACAGCTGGGATGACTGTCTAATGAATCAAATGCATTTTCATAATCCACAAAACCATGAATAAGGGTATTTGAATTTAATTAATCCTTTCTAAATGGAGTGTGATCAATGATTGAAAACCCCTTTTCCAAATCCAGTTATAGTTCGTTCGTATGAAATATTGACAACATGGACTTTTTTATTGACAGCCAAGTGTGGTGGCTCACACCTGTGATTCAGTGTTGTAGAGGCAAGGGTTAGTGGATCACACGCAGATGAGTGAAAACTATTGGGCTGTCAGGTGGTCAGAACAAAGTGTGGGTCGGTGAACCCGTTTGTGTGGACCTTTGAGTGTTCTCCCGTTGCCATGATGTGCATTCCAATTTCCTCCCACATTCAAAGTATTCCGAAAAATAAGGAATGACCCAAACATCCCAATGCAGGACCCTCCTGAGAAAGAGTCTTGAAACTCGGTGAGGATATTCAGAATATACGATTATATCGCTGGGAAGCGACAGGGGAAATTCGAAATGGAGCAGAAGTAAAATGCTACACTTGCAGGCATAGCACGTGGTTGTGAAATTGGAGTAAAATTGTAATGAATTTGATGAAGATGCTGATACAATACTGTACATTTAGCATAAAAAAATTCCACTGAATCTGTGTTATGAAGAGGAGACGATGTTCATACCATGATGAGTTGATGTGATAGTTTAATGCTGGAATTAACATTATTATGATAATATTACGATGAGTAATCCTTTTAGCTGGTTTTTCACATAGAGCCTGTCAATTTATGTTTCATTATAGGCAACAAGACCCCCTAATTTTTTGCCTCGGATACTGCTGGCGCCAGTCCCGTTAGCGAGCATATATTGAGGTCTGCACACAAACACGTGTCATGTTTCGAGACATAGCATGTTTGTCGTGCTATCAGGAAGCTGCCATCATAAATCGGCTGACACTGTGGCCTTGATGATCACAGAAAGACAGTCAACACATCAGCATGTAAATTATGGCAGTGAGCAGCGTCACTAATTTGCCTTGTAGATTTACTGTTAATCAAACACTCTAGATGCCTTAATTTGAATATAGAGTATTAATCTACTTTTGAGTAACTATGACTTGGTCTTGTTAGGGGATATTTACACGCATGCGTGTGTGTGAGAGCAGTGGGGAGCGGTAGTGTAGCGGTTAGCGCGCTGCGCTACGAACCCGGCTACCCAAGTTCGATTCCCGCTCATGGCCAACACCAGTGACGATTATCTGAACCGGTCCTGACCCTCCCCTAGGTCGACTCTGCCTTAAATGAGTACCTGGTGCGATGTGTAAACATCGCCACTGGGGAGACAAAAAGGCCGGGCGTGGTGCTGGCCACCCACCCCTTAGGTCTACCGTGCTGGGCTGTCCCAATATTCTGTGAAGGCTATACAGGGGATTCTTGTCTTTGTTTCTTTGTGTAAGTGAGCACGTGTATTTGTTTATATAGTGCTGTGTTAACAACAATAGAGACGCAAAGGTGGCATGGTGTAGTCTTGGTCACACCACCCTCTCATAAACCATCCCAGCTTTAATAGGTGTTTTTTTAACAGCACTTACCGTAACAGTTTGTAAGCCTATGCAAGTCATATGTGTCTTTCTGTTTATAGTGAGAAATGGTGCAATTGTAAGTGCACTGTACTCATTATGGGCCGAGTAGCTGGCGTGGTGACTGAGTGCACTACTGACCACACCACTCTCTCGTTCTTTATTCCAGCCTTAATAGGTGCTTGCCAACTGCACCAGCTCCAGCACTTCTATAAGGCTAATGGGGAAATGTATGCCTTTGTGTATATGCCTGGCACAGACTCTGCAATTACTTCCTTACCAATGAATAGTGAATTGCTTTTGTGCTGCACTGTTGTCTGCGATCCAAATTCAGTATTCGCTGAAAATAAGGACCATGGCACATGTGCATATGAAATATGGAAGCTGGTGATGAATAGAGAACAGAAACTGAAAAATATGCAAAGAAGGATGGAGAGTGGCATACTTGGAATTATACGGAGAGATGAAGAGGAACACCAGTATAGAAAATGTAAGCAAGTCAGAGGCTCAGTATAGAGAAGTAAGTGGGCTTGCGCAGGACACGCCGCTGGAAGCGATGATGGCTGGTGGTCGAGACTGAAGGAGTGGCAGCCAAGAGAAGGTTGTCCGTAGAGGTTGAGCGATTAAATCAACTCGCATGCAGAGGAAGCACGTGGTTTGTTGGATCACGAGACTGCGATGGATGGCAAAGGCTCGGGGAGGCCTTCGTCCAGCAGTGAATTTATCATGGCGAGTGAATGTGGGATAGTCAGGATATTATTGTTACTGCATTGTCCTTCCCCCGCACCTTGCATTAGCGCAGTGGGCTACGTATGTTATGAAAGAAGTTCAACATACATACAGACATGCATGAATGTTAACAATAAATTATAATCGGTAATAGAGTTCACATCCCTACTGTTGACTAAACATGGAATCACAGTAAACACCTCAACACACAAGTACCCTTAACCAAAGAACCATCTCACCTAACACCACCACAAATCGTGCGTCATGGGACCATGAGGCATGGCGACGGTTTGGGAACGCCTTGATCTATCCGTGGGTTCATTGTAGCTGATGATGGTAGTGATGAAATGTACGGTATTTTATAAAACAACTGCAAATCTTAAGCTGCCAGCGGTGAGCTTTTGTTTGACCGGTTTCGGTGGTGGCTGGCCGGTGCCGCTTGTGCCAAGTACAGTGACCACGACGGCACCGTGGTGATGAGTATCATCGCTATTGATTTTTTCCGCAGCCTCGTGGAATTGGCCAGCCGAGCGTCTACCACGCAGCCTTCGTCATCTTCCTCGAGTTCTTCGCATGGGGGCTTCTCACCGCACCCACGCTGACCGTACGTGCGCGCAAACACGCACACGTGGAATGACAGATCCCCCTATGGCCTTAACGGACTGTTGGGGCATGTGTTGTTAGCGAGCAAACTATGAAGGCCGGCACAGCACATGAGGGGGGTGGGTGGCCGGCACCGCGTCAGGCCGCCGTTATCTCCCCAGTGGCGATGTTTACACAACACACCAGGTATATGTACTCATATGAGGCTGAGTCGACCTAGGGGAGGCCCAGGACTGGTTCAGATAATCGTCACTGGTGTTGACCATGAGCAGCAATCAAATTTGGGATTGACAGGCACACAAACGTACGCACACAGTGATTTTCAGGCCTGTGGTTTAAAAAAAAAAATTGGTTTCTTGGCTTTCCTTCATTATAATGGAAATAAACGGGGGTTTTGTTAATAAAACGAGACCGCGCCCTTGAATAATCCCGGCGTTTATTTCGAGGACACCCTGTACACATCGACACAAATGTGTCATTCGCTCGCTTTCATTTCGTCAAAATCAACGGAGCGGAGAAACACATCTGGCCGCGACAGTTCCCAGAAACGTCGCTGCTCCTCTGCGACTTATTCGGGCAATGACAAAACACACCCTTCTCCCCCCGCTTTCGCGCTCTTGCACTTAATGGCGACGTGCTCAATGAGAAAGCGGTTTCCGTGGCTTTCTTTGTGGCTGCCTGTGTGAAACACTTCCTCTTTTTGTTCGCAATCACATTCCAGCAATCGTCAGACTCATACTCATGCCCTCCATATGGCCCTGTTACACTGCAGGCTTTAGGCTTTATTATCACTTCGTTCTTATATATGTGAAACTTACGACTTTGTCTGCATCTATGAACTATATAGCTCAACGAAGTGGCTTATTGTGTGGAAATGTATAGCAGCCAAAACTCTAAACGTGTGATGTTGATGCTATATGTGGAGGAGAAACTGGAGGACCCGGAGAAAAATCCACGTGACCAGGGGGAGAGAGGAGATGCCAACTCCAAATATACAGGCGTTAGGGTCGGGATCGAACCCACCACCAGGCGAGAAAGTTAGCATCTAGCCACCACGGCGCACCTGAAGCATTAATTAATGCTTTTTATAATGCTACAGATTATAATCTGTAGCATTAGACCTGGCTCCCAGTGCCTGCGACACATTTTCACAATTATGGAATCACACGGCAGGATAACAATTTTATAGTGCTGTGAGCAAGTGGTTTGATGAGTGAGAAGAATCGTTATTCTGGGTGGAGATTAAAACCTTGGGGCATTGATGATGATGATAGTTCATTGCACTCGATGTGGACCATGTAGAGCAGTGTTCATCAATAATTTTTAGAGGTGGGCCATTTTCACCAATAAGACATCGGTGTGAGGGCCGCCACACCGCCTGCAAGGTGGTGTTGTCACGTGATGTGTAGTTTCGGGGGCCGCACTAAAGGCCACCAGGGGCCGCCAGTGGCCCACGGGCCTTGCAATGAAGAACACTGATGTAGAGACACAATACAGCTCCATCAAGGCCACTCATTATGATTTAGTGTGAGGGCACACACCTTTCCATTGTCCCTTGTATCAGTAAAATCACCGCATGTCTACAGTTGATGCTGGTGCGCAGCGTGGTTGGCATGGGCCCTGATTCAAGGCATTAACGGTGCCCCTTGTGTTCAACTTTCCGGCTCTATTTTTGCCTGGCGCCTGTGTCCCTCCGGCAATTGAACCTCTTGAGCCCCAGGGCTCCGGTACAGTTGCACCTGCTACACATGCGATAGCTACTCCACTGTATTGATGCCTACTCGGGGTGTTGGTTGAGGGGGGGGGGGGTTGTTTTGCGTGCCAAGACTGTGCTGACTTCGCTGTGTGTCGTGTGCAGGTGCTGCACGAGACCTTTCCCCAGCACACGTTCCTCATGAACGGCCTCATACAGGGTGTCAAGGTACGAGCCGCTCATCGTCACCGCTTAATATTCACGCTGCGCCTCTTACGCAGCGCAGCTTTGAGGCCCTCTGCCGCAGCGTAGCCAAAATGAGCACCCCACCGTGGCAGCTGGCCCTGTGCTGTACAAGGTGATCACAGCATAGGCCTGCGAGTGAGCATTTGTCTTCCAGAAGGTGGCGATATTGCCAATTATATATAGTAATTTTTCAAGTAATTTATTAAATTTGGACCGCGATGCCTGCACGCATTTGCATACTGCTTTTTTTTAAGAACGTCAGAGTGTAACGTTCACCATGAAACGGATGACGCGTGTTTTATAGTTAATACGCACCATAGTATTAACCAGGGCGGCCGCTGGGCTCAAATCGCGGGGCTGTGCAACAAGCGGCGGCGAATGCGCAACCGCTAGGCCACGTCACCGCATCCGCTGTCCCGTCCAATCCAGCGAGGATCTCCTTGGGGCCGGTTAGATTGAGAACCCAGGGTGCTAGACACAGCCCCGCACGGGTAATCGGTCACGTTTTTGTCCCACACATAATTCTGTTAATCGCGATCAAATCTCAAGAATACAGAGCCCAGGTGTGGTAGAATGCTTGAAGTTGCGGATTAAAATATGGCTGAGGGTCCTGTAAGATTTTCAGTGTTGTCTGGTGGTGCTTTGATGCTATAGAGTAATTGAAAATATTTGTTTCATACAGCTCTAACGACAGTGATGCAATGAGATATACAGTGATTGTGTGATGTGTGCGTGTGCAAGGCGTGTGTTGTCACATGTGAGGAGCGGTTAGCGCGCTGTACTAAGAACCCGGCAACCCGAGTTCGATTCCTGGTCACGGCCAACACCGGTGACGATCTGAACCCGTCCTGGGCCTCCCCTTGGTGCACTCAACCAAAAATGAGTACCTGTTGCGATGTGTAAACATAGCCAGTAGGGAGATGAAGGTAGTCGGGCGTGGTGCTGGCCACCCACCCCCTCATGTGTTGTGCCAACCTTCATAGGTACTCGTGAACAGCACTGCTATAGTGTGGTGTGATGTGCGTGCGTGTAGGTGCACATGTTTGTTGATGGGAGTTGTGTAACGATTCACCTGTGTGTGACCTGTGTTGTGACATGAGCTGCCGAGTGGTTGTGTGATGCGTGTGGGTGCTTTCAAGTTGACATGGAATGGCTGTTATTTGCGCGTGTTTGTTGACGTGAGTTGTGGAATGATGTCGTGTCACTCGTGTACAAATGTGCGTACCCGTGATTGTTGCACGCGAGCAGGGCTTGCTGTCGTTTCTCAGCGCGCCTCTCATTGGCGCGCTCTCCGACGTCTGGGGTCGCAAGTCCTTCCTGCTGCTCACTGTCTTCTTCACCTGCGCACCCATCCCGCTCATGAGGATCAGTCCCTGGTGAGGAGGGCTCATGCTTCCGAACACTTCCATTTGCTAAACGATTGTCTGAGCATATACAAATAGTCATATTAATATAAATGCGGCCAAACATATAACCAAATATGTTGGTACACGTGCCAATGTCCCGATCGCCCAGAATGCACTCCATCTCATCATAGCTTAGAAGCTAAGCAGAATTTAGATAGTGCTTGGATGGATGACTACAACGTGTATAACAGGTGTCGTAGGCTGTTGCGGGGCTAAATTGTAGGCAGCAGAGAGTAGTGCAGCACAATCCATTGTGTTGGGGATCTTATGTGCCCGATCCCATCATGTCACAGTTGATGACCTATAGACTCACACACAGACCTTGAGACTCGCACAGAAACTCAGAGGCTCACACAGAGATCCATAGACTCTTACAGTGACATATAACTGACTGCCTGTCTCACTCTAATGTAAATATGCTCACTGTTTCTGCACAGCATCTTCAGATATGGGTGCATGTAGACGCTATATACACTGTATAGATTGTATTGTGTGTGCGTGTGTCGTTGTGTGTGTGTCGTTGTGTGTGTGTGTTTGTACAGGTGGTACTTTGCCATCATCTCCGTGTCGGGGATCTTCTCGGTCACCTTCTCCGTGGTGTTCGCCTACGTGGCCGACGTGACGCCCGAGCACGAGCGCAGCTCCGCATATGGCCTGGTGAGCCGTGCCAATCGCCCCCCCCCCCCCCCCCCCCCCCCCCCAATATGTGGTGAACTTCTTTCGCACCGTACGTAGCCAAGCATGCTAATCGGGGGTACGTGGGGGGGAAGGACTACAAGCCAAACACAAAAAAAACACTTGAGTTTTCAATCTATATATACACAATATTTCAAACCATCCTGGTGCCTCTCAATTTTCACTTGGCAAGACAAAGAAAACTCGACGACTCGACCCGACCCCCTGCTGTAGCGGTGCGTGCGTGTGTGCCCGTTGCGTTCGTGTGCGCGCGCTTGCTCGACCAGGTGTCGGCGACGTTCGCGGCCAGCCTGGTGACCAGCCCGGCGATCGGCGCGTACCTGAGCACGGCGTACGGCGACGGGCTGGTGGTGGCGCTGGCCACCGGCGTGGCCCTGCTGGACATCGCCTTCATTCTCGTCGCCGTGCCTGAGTCGCTGCCCGAGAAGATGCGGCCGGCCTCGTGGGGGGCGCCCATCTCCTGGGAGCAGGCCGACCCCTTCGCTGTGAGTGGACGAATGAATACGGCCAGGATATACGGGCAACGTTGGGTGGGGGGGGGGGGCGTTGGATGTTGAACACTCACACAAATACGTGCACGTGCTATGTGCTAGGAAGAACAGCAACCGCCTGAAACAGTGCCAATTCTGTATATTTTTGTTCTTTTTAAGGCAGTGTCGTTGACCAGTGTGAGTTTTTTGTTCATGTTAAACAGCGCATTTTTTATCTTTTTTTTTACTCCTATTGAATACTAGCTATTAGTCTAAATTTGTATCTACCAAAAACATAGTAAAACATCTAGAGATGTGGCTGTATATCACGGATGCGAAAGAAGTGAGAATTGTATTGAAATTAAATTGTCCGAAGAGTTTTTTGTGCATCCCTGCCACAGTGGCGAGAAAGGAGCACAGCGGTGAGCACAGCGGTTAGCGCGCTGCACTATGAGCCTAGCGACCCGAGTTCGATTCCTTATCATGTCCAACATCAGTGGCGATTATCGAAGCCAGTCCTAGGACATGCCCTAGGTCATCTCAGCCTCAAATGCGTACCTGGTACGGTGTCTAAACATCACCACCAGGGAGGCAAAGGCGGCCGGGCATGGTGCTGGTCTCCCACCCCGTTGTGTGCCATGCCGGCCTTCATAGCTACTCTCTTACAGTACTTTCCCCAAAATTATCTTGAGGCTGTACGACGGGGGATCTTTGTCTTGTCCCTGCCATGGCCGTGTGTTTGTGGCTGTGCACAGTCTCTGCGTAAAGTTGGGCAGGACTCGACAGTGCTGCTCATCTGCATCACGGTGTTCCTGTCCTACCTGCCCGAGGCCGGGCAGTACTCTAGCTTCTTCCTCTACCTGCGCCAGGTAAGACTGCAAATATTTTTTTATTTATTTACCAGGTAAGGCCCACTGAGCTCTATAGCCTCTTTGTCAGAAGCGACCTGGCCACACAATGAAGCGGCTTATCGTCGTGTGGAAATTTATAGCAGCAGCCAAATACTCTACCCGCACGTCCATTCTAAATGTGGAGGGAAAAACCGGACGAAATGGAGAAAAATGCACTCCACCGTGGGGAGAACATGCAAACTCCAAAATATACAGGCATAAGGGTCAGGATTGAACTCACGACCTCCTGCATGCCAGGCGAGGCAGTTACATCTCGCCACCAAGATGGGGCGTAGGGGCAGGCAGGAGTCCAGACTCGTGTGAGTATGCGTATGTACGGACGTGTTTGTGTGTTTGTTTTCCCTGCATCTGCCAGTCATCTCTGCTAACCCATAACAAATGCTTCTGTCCCGTGACCGCCTACCAGTGAGCCTTCGAGACTTCACGTCGCTTCAAAATGCACCGAGCCTGGCACAATAGTAGTGACATCCCACTCACGCAGTGACGAATGATGGCTGTTGTTGTTTGGTGCCTCACCCATTCATCTCGCTCAGTTAATCCATAACACCTGGGTCTCTCCCGTAACCTGCCAGCTGCATGCCTTCTAAACTTCACGTGGCCTTACAAACGTTCACCTAACCTGGCACATGTGCTTTGGTCATGCCACTGTCACGTAGTGGTGAATGGCGTCTGTTCTATCTGGTTGTGTATTTGTGTATATGTTGTGCATGTGTGTGTTTGTAAGAGTCTGTGTATAGGGAGTAGTACAGTGATTAGCAATTTGTGTCACGAACTCGGTGACCTGAGACTGTGGGTGTGTGTGTGTAACCATCAGCACGGGGGAGACAAAGACGACCACAACACTCTTGTGTCTTGCGGGCCTGAATTAGTACTCGCTAATAGCACTTGTCCCAGCAGTCAGTTAAAGGCTATATGGGAGATCTTTGTCTTTTGCGTGGTACAATCGTTGTGGTTCCATCACTGCCACTTAGTGGTGAATAGCAGTCACTGGCGGAGCCAGTGGGGGGGTGGGGTGGCACGTGCCCCCCCAATGAAATTAGGGATTTCGATCGGATCATTGGGGTTTATTAGTAATAAATCGGCATTTTGTGACCCCCACTGCCACTGTATAACATATTATTATGTGCCAGGGACTCTATAAGATGATAGGACAATAGTCTTGAGTCCATAATTGGCAATAAGTAACGGCAAAGCAGTTATAAGTGACTCACAGAATTGTGCGCAGTTGCGTATACAGTACACGACTTCCCTGAAGGCATCGACACCTTCAGCGAGCGCGATGCCAATCACACAACGCGGTTCGAATTCGACCCTCAATCGATGGCCGCGCCATCGCCGCACACGCGTCGAATAAAAAGCAAGGGATAAGTCCTTACTAACAACAACTATAATTTTTAATTGCTGGAGGGGTTGCCCCCCCTACCTGAAAATTCTGGCTCCGCCGTTGATAGCAGTTGTCTTGTATGTTAGGGTCTACATCGGGTGTGTATTTGTGTGCGTCCTTCAATGTGGATGCACCATACAGGCCTAAAATGTGCTTGCTTACAACAGCACTTGACCCAGCAGTCTACATGCCTATATGGAGGGGGACTTTTGTCTTTTTTGCGTGTGGTTAGATCATGGGATTTTCAGCTGGCAGTGTTGCTGCGTTCATTGCTGAGCTCGGAGTTTTATCAATTCTGGCACAGGTAAGACATGCATTCAGTTATCCAACCATGCTCACGTTGCCAACAGCAAATACTTTTCACAGCGATTCACTCGCATCAGCTGCTGTAATGCAACAAATTAATGCAACGCTTGTTCACTTGAACACTCAGAAAATTGGCAAATAATGAAACTGAATTTAGAAAATTGTACTGCAATGAACGAAACATGAAATCATGTTTGCAGTCGCAAATACAAATTATGCATCACAACATTTTAATTTTACAACAACATAAAAAAATATATGCTATTTTTGCTGAATACATAACTGGGATGGAACGGTGGCATGGTAGTTAGCACACTGACCTATGAACCCAGAAACTCAAATGTATTTCTTGGCTATGGCTTGCATCAGTGACGAGTAATATCTTAACCAGTCCTCTCTACCGGAATATACAGGGTGGCCCAAAAGTCAGGACACACGCGGGTTATGATATTGTAACAAATCATATAGGGTTATTTCATTTATTTTAACAAATGCTCAAACTGACTTCCATTAACATCAATTCCATGATGCATGAATTCCCCTTTGAAATAAATGTAGGAATATTTTTTTAAGATTGCAGGTATAATCTTTGAACATTCATCAATTGTTTTGTCTCAATTCATTCAGGGTTCTTGGTCGAGTTTTGTCAAAGTCATCTGAAAATAAGGAAGTACAATAAATATCAATAATGGCAATAGATGAAATTTTAACATAAATAATAAACAACAAAAATTCATTAATGCCAGTGTTAAAAAAAAAATAACCCTGTGTCCTGACTGTTAGGCCATCCTGTGTACAATTGTGATCTATAATGTTACAAATACATGCATGGGTTGTTTGTCCTATGCTGCCCTACGAGCCATAGGGAATTAGTGATGGCACTGCATTCAAGCTGTACTATAATGTATGGGTTTCCACTACAGTGGCACAGTTGATCGCAATATTAATATCATATTCCTCCTTCAAGCAGACAGCGGGGAACACACAGCATAGGTGTGTATCTAAAGGATAATTGCAGTGCATCTTCAATACAGAATACATAGCATGATTTTGACTTAACTTTTGTGACTGCAGGAATTCATATTCTTTGGTTCTGTCGGTAAAGTCACGTAGATAGTTCCTGATGACGACCGCTTGTGCTGCGATCGAAACGTCGTGATGTTTTTATTCACTTCATTTTTATTATTTTATTGTTATTTTATTTTTTCTATCTACATGACTTTACCGAAAGAGCCATAGAATACATAGCATGATTGCGAGAGACGGCCATGGCTCGTGGATTGATCATATCTGATGAGTATGATGATGACGAGCAACGTAAACACGTCTGTTAATATACAAGCACATTGTGAGCTCTATTTTTTTTAAGTTTCGTATTTTTCAGAATTTTTATCCCAATTCTGCTATTAGTGTTACTTTCAGAATTCTCACAGAACAGTGCTGCCCTTCATGTTCTACAGAAGCGGATAAGACAACTACCTCTGAGACCCCTTCAAGTGATGGCTGGTACACATAGGAGGGGGCAGAACTTTCCCACTCGCCATGACACATCAAAGTCATGTTTGTCACATGACAACAAAACATTTTACATTCTTAGAACTGTAAATTAGCTCAAATAACTGCTGAACCAAATTGAATGCAATGGTGACTGGGCTGAGACCATCAATTGAATACACTTGAGAACCCGCTTTAATCACAGGCAGCTGTCTGGATTTGAAACAAGGTTCTCAGCAGTATGACCTCACAACCCTGACCTCTGAGGGACCCGACTACCGGGTGTGTTTGCGTGTGCATGCAGCAGAACGTTTTTCCTTTATTACCTGACCTCTAACCCGTTATTGCGTGACCTCTGACCTGTCACGGTGCCGCAGACGCTTGTGCTGAGCGTGCTAATGCGGTCGATCGGGAACAGAAACACCATCCTCCTGGGACTTGGCTTCCAGATGCTGCAGCTCACGTGGTACGGGTTTGGCTCCCAGCCCTGGTGAGTTGCCATCTTATTTATTTTTCACTTCACAAACCGAACTGCTCCATGACTGTGCCGAGCCAGCCCAGCGCACCTCAGGAGGCGCTGTTGTTTTTCCACTGCAGAAGCAGAACCGTGCCACTTAGGTCGCGCGTGGTGAACGAGTCGAGACCGATGTAGATGACGCTTTGATGCCCTGTGCACACTGTGTGCCGACTGATTGATTCATTTATTAGCTCCTGGCCCTGATTTTGGAGGTACTGAGGCCAGCGCAAAAAGGTTTGGTTTCGGCTCGGCACATCAAGTGGCAAGTGGAGATCCGCTAGTACCATAAGGGGCCCCACCCTGGCTCAGCTCCGATGTGGCAATCGAAAAATGGATGGGGTTATCTGTGGTTGGGTGAATGTCTGAGATGAGATAGTGGGTGGCAACGTGAACATCTGGTTCAGATAATAACAATTCTTTAGGACATGCACTTGTTTAGGATAATGAGTGGCTTGTCAACATAATGTCCCTCTGGCACAATGCAGCAGTAGGCCCTGAAGGCTATACTCTACCGATGATTCCTAACAAGGATGAAATCGGTGATTATGCAGTTGTCTGTATTCTGCCGTCGTATAAAATAATATGGCCATTATTTGAAATCTTAGTGGTCTAATGCACGGCTTAGCCCTACACCACGCAGTACACTGGTGTCACTTTACACGCATCATTACAAGTCATGAAGGGAGGACCAATTATGTTGTCACGATATAACATTTTGCGTGTAGGATTATTATTAATAATCTGGCATGCATATATCTGTCTGATGAGCTTCTCATCATTTACAGAAAGTGTTAGGACTGGTTTAATTTGTAGCTGGGTTTGTTACAATGTGTTAAATGTGTGGTTTGGTTAGGTATTAGGTGGTTGTGAGAGTGGCTGTCCCAGGTCATTGGTAGCTGGGTGGCAGGACTAAGTATTGATTGGCTATGTTACTTATTGTGTGAGTGGAGGAGTTGAGTAGTAGGCTGCCAACTGAGTTGCCTACAAATATCTTTTCACATTAGTTTCACAACTGAAATCTGAGTTTCAATTAAATGATACCTTATCAAAGTCTTCAGTTCCATTCAACCTGTTTGTGGACGTAGGTGTACATAAACGCGTGTGTGTGTGTGTGTACTTTGTATTTGCTTGTGGGGAGCGGTAGTGTAGCGGTTAGCGAGCTGCGCCACGAAACTGGCGACCCAGGTTCGATTCCCGCTCTTGGCCAACACCAGTGACGATTATCTGAAACGGTCCTGGGCCTCCCCTAGGTCGACTCAGCCTCAAATGGGTACCTGGTGCTGTGTGTAAACATCGCCACTGGGGAGACAAAGGCGGCCGGGCGTGGTGTTGGCCACCCACCCTCTCATGTGCCGTGCCGGCCTTCATAGGTGCTCACGAACAGCACTTGCCCCTACAGTCTGTTACAGGCTATACGGGGGATCTTTTCTTTTTTTTGTATTTGCTTGTGTACTTGCAGATGAGTACATATGTGTATTAATGTTGTTTTATGAGCGGCGCACACAATAACAGGCACAGCGCCAGGCAGTTAAAATGCAGCTAATTGTCACAGTGGGCAGCACAGGTGGTGCATCTGCCAGTCATCTCAGCCAGGCAACCCATGGCACCTGGGTCTGTCCCATGACCTCCTGCCAGCAGCGAGCCTTTGACACTTCACGTGACCTTAAAGTGTACATAGCCTGGCGCAAGTGCCGTGGTGACGTTACCGACACTTAGGGGGCGAATGGCGGTTGTTGTTGTGGCTGTGGGGTGTGCTTGTGCATGCGTACAAGCGTATTACCGGCTGACGCCACAGGGAATGCATTATTTAACATTGATTTATGTGTTGTGCAATATGATTACTGTTTTGTTTTGTTGACGTTCTTTTCTTTGTTGGTTTTGCTGTTGTCATTTCGGTGACCCAGGTCACTCCTATAAATGAGCCTCTTCGTTCTCACCTAGTTAAACACATAAACTTAACTTGATCTTGTATGTACGTGTTTGCATTTGTTTCTAAATATATACACACACACGTGTGAGTGTCTGTGCGCGTGCAAGCGGCGAAATGTAGCGGGGAACGGTAACGTAGTGGTTAGTGCACTGCACTACGAACCCGGCGACCCGAGTTCAATTTGCGCTCACGGCCAACTCCAGTGACCATTCCTGGGCCCTCCTCTCGGTCAACTCGACCTAAAACGAGTACCTGGTGCGGTGTGTAAACATCGCTGCTCGGGATACAAAGGCGGCCGGCCGGGGTGTGGCTGCTGGCCAACCCATCCCCGCTCGCTATTGGCACTTTCCCCAACAGTCCGTTAACGCTATATGGGGGATCTTTGCCTTTGCAGGATGATGTGGGCGTCGGGCGCCGTGGCCGCCATGTCCAGCATCACATTCCCCGCCGTGTCGGCGCTCGTCTCGCGGAACGCCGACGCCGATCAGCAGGGTAACAATCGCCCCGGCACTCGCCACAGCGCTGTCAAATCGGTGTTTGTCATTTGGCAATCAGAACATGTTTAGTGCTCGGTTCATCATCATCATCATCACGATTCATGGGCAGATAGCCCATAGGTGTCCACCACACGTTTCGTCATTTGTTTCCACTTTCCTTTGTCTTGTGCCAATATGCTAAAGTAGTGCGCGCATCTTTATGGCACCAGTCTCTGTTGTCGTCGTCAAGCCATTTTCTGTTAGGTCTTCCTCTTGTTATGGTCCCATCCATTTTTACCGAACGGCACACTTTCGATGTTCCTGTTATCCATTCATATACATGTGTTCAAATAGTGGAAGTTTCCTTCTCCATCACTGCCTGCATCATCAGGTTGTCTTCTTCTGTGTGCAACCTTTTTCTTACATCTACGTTGGTCACTCTTTGGGTCCAGCTTGGATGTGGTATCCGTCTGTAGCGATACATTTCGAGTTCCAATATCTTATCTCTGTCCCCCTGTCACACCACAGTCTTCCCTCTCTTCTCTCCCTCCTGCCTCCCTCGCGTCTCCCTCGTCTCCCCCGTGTCTCCCCCCCTGTCCCACCCGTCTTTCCTCTCTCCCTCGTCTCCCTCCTGTGTCACCAGTGTGTCTCGCCCGTGCGTCTCCCCCGTCTCACGCGTGTGTCTCACCTGCGTGTCTCCCCCGTGCGCCGGCCCTCTTGCGGCGGCTCCCCAGGCGTGGTGCAGGGCATGGTGACGGGGATCCGGGGGCTGTGCAACGGCCTGGGCCCCGCACTCTACGGCTTCATCTTCTACCTCTTCCACGTGGAGCTGGACGAGCTGCCGGCAATGGGCGATAGCGCTGCCCCCCAGGGCGAGCCTCGCACGCCGCACCGGCCCTCCACGCAGGTCAGGGGGAGCACGGTGACGGTGGTAGTTTGGGGTTATAATTGTTGTTTTTTCTACCAGGTAAGGCGCACTGAGCTATGTATGGGAAATGATCGCTCAACGAAGTGGCTTATCATTTAGCAGTTAATTGCAGCCAAATACTATGAATGCACGTCGATTCAAAATGTGGAGGGAAAAACCAGAGGACCCGGATAAAAATCCACGTGACCACGAGAAGAGAGAGAGACATACAAACTCAAAATATACAACAGACGTCGGAGTTGGGATCGAACCCACGACCTCCTGTACACCGGGCCAGGTAGTTAACATTTTGCCATGGCGGCGCCCCAAACATATATATGTTGAACTTCTTTCGCACCGTATATATAGCCACCCGTGCTAATCAGAGGTGCCGGGGGAAGAACAAACTAAACACAAAAAGCAGTTATAAAGAAATGAGTTTCCAATCTTAAATTATTTAAAAGTGCACAACTCCAGTGGCATTCCAGACGGCCGCAGAAGTGCATCTGAAAGCACCCCGATACGGTGACCATCCTTGTCCGATAGCCAGCCAAGAGCCGCTGCGAGGATGACCGGAGTTCACCTGATGGTTTATGCTCCTATACGAGATCGGCAAGGGTTAGAATACCATGTATGATTCCAACCCTGGATTACAATACTATTACAACAATATTACTTTACCCACTGCTGCCCCTACTCCTTCCCCCCACTCCCCACTCTGATCAGATGGCGAGGGTTAAACTACCACGGGTGGTGAGGGTTAAATAATAGAGAGTATTCTGACCCTGTAGTCCAGTGCTGGCCAACTGCCATCTCCTGAGCCACAAGAATAATGAACGTCTCCCGCGCTGTGTCGATAACTGTCAATATATACACACACACACTTGGACAATTTGCAGAACTCGCAGGTACTTCTTGGCTCTTGGTTCTTGATACAGTTTGGCCACACCTGCTGTAGTCGATATATGATACCTTTAACCTTGAATGGTACCCCTGACCTGTGACCCACACCCCCGCTGCAGACTCTTCTGCCGAAACGGAGAGCGCCGTTGCTCCGCCGCACCTGAGAAACCCCGGTTTCACCACGGCGCGGCTGCCCGCGGTTGAACTTGGGATCTGGGCGGCGCCGGCTCGTGGCTCTCTGACCTCTCGGCGAGTGCGCCGGTCACCTCGTCGTCGTTGACTCTTGACCACCCCCGCCCCGCTCTCCCCCTCGCAGCAGACCATCATCCCGGGGCCACCGTTCCTGTTCGGCGCCTTCCTGGTGCTGCTGGCGCTGCTCGTGGCCCTGTTCATCCCCGAGCACACGGGGCTGGCGCCCGCGTACAGGAGGCACGCGGGGGGTCACGCGGGGGGTCACGCGGGGGGCCACGCGGGGGGCCACGCGCACTCGCCGCCCGTGACGGAGGGCGAGGAGCCGCTGCTGCAGGACAGCCCCGTGTGAGCCGAGAGGGGGGAGATGCGCGCGTGTGCGCGCGTCCACACGTACGTATAAAGATTCCCCCGCCCCCGCCCCCGCCCCGCATGGCCTGAACATACTGTTGGGGCGAGTGCTCTTAGTGAGTAGCATCTGTCAAAGATGGAACGCGGCACACGAGGGGGTGTTTGGCCAACGCCACGCCCCGGCCGCCTTTGTCTCCCCAGTGGCGATGTTTACACACCGCACCAGGTACTCATTTGAGGCCGGGTCGACCAAGGGGAGACCCAGGGCCGGTTCAGATAATCGTCACTGGCGTTGGCCGTGAGCGGGAATCGAACTCGGGTCGCCGGGTTCGTAGCGCAGCGTACTAACCACTACACTACTCATATTCTTGTTCTTTCGGTAAAGTCACGTAGAAAGGAAAACAATACAATAATAAAAATATAAAACATTATTATTTTACGTTACTTTACCGAAAGAACCAAGAATATGAATCCCTGCAGTCACGAAAGCTTTAAATCAAAACTACACTACTCGTACGTATGTACGCACGCACGCACATACCCGTACGTGTGCAGCCCGTTTGTAAATCCACTGCTAAGTGAGGGCTTCCCCCTTCTTTCCTGCAAAGTCTCTTGAGGTGCGAGCACATGCGACGCTGTATGGATTGAAGGTTGTTGTTTCGAGACGCGTTTGCTTCATGGTCACCGTGAAACATGAGGAGTTGGTCATCGTGTGACCGCTTTGCAGCTGTGACAACAGTGTTGTTTGCTGCTGGCCGCTTGACACAATCAGAATCTGAATACTTATACTGGAGGAATCCGACGAGCTATAAAGATCTCTTTCACAGATGCCCAGTAGGGGCACGGGGTCAGAACGTTATAACAACAAACTATACACTTTGGACCTTTGGGCCTGTGCTCAGAAGCTGTGTTTAAAAGAATCAAGCGCACGTGTTCTCTCGTGTTGTTCAACGGTAGAACGCCACCTACCGAACCCTGATCCAAATTGCGACGTCTTTTCCGCCCCTCGACGCGGAACGGTTTCGAGCGGATAGAGGGCGGCACAATTTCCTGGTTGACACGGGGACTAGGAAGAAGCCACCTCTTCTTTAAGCACCCATGTTTGTATTCGTGTCACGGAGGCGAGGGCAGAAAATATAGCAGAAAATATCCAGAAAATGTGCATATTCAAGCCTCAGGGGAGCTCTCGAAGGCTCTTTAAATGTACACAAACCAAATCATGTCAATAAATTAATATGGTGAGGTATTTGAATCAACAACCGTATTAAATAAGCACAAATAAAAAAAAGCCTGCATTATCATGGGTAGGGAACATCTCATCCATAATGCCGTTGACCGCTTCAGTGGATTATCAAACCCGCGGGGGGGGGAAGGGCCGAACAATAATTTAATCGACCTGAATTTGTACCTTCTTTCAGGAGAGGCGACACTGTGCCCTGTGCCGACACGTCCCACCGTGCCCCAGCCGGCAGGTGTCTTACAAACAAAAACGAAGGCAACGGGGGCGAACAAAACAACAACGAAAATCTACTCGTGTTTTTTTTTTGTGTGTGTTTGGAGAAGAAGGAAAAAAAACAAAACAACAAAAAAAACTTGACGTGAGGAGGCTGCCGCGCGTCATCGTCGTCGTGAGCGTCGCCGAATTGAACTGCGGAGAAAATCGCCGTCTTGTTCGATGGGAAGGCGGGGGGGGGGGGAGAGACGTCCCAGGAGATGGAACGACGGGTCGGCGATCCCGTCCGCCCGACCGCCGAGGGGTCCCGTGTTTCATTGGGCGCGCCAAGCAATGAAGGCCGCCAACGCGTTTTGGGAGGGTAAAAAAAAAAGGCAGCTGTGTTGTTTTATAAGCTGTACATTTGTACGAAGTGTAAATGTTTGCTTGTGTGTGTGTGTGCGTGCGTGCGTTATCGCTGTCCGGTCCCCTGAGCCGCCCCACCTCCCGGTTGTGAAGAAGTCGGTGGGACGTTTATTGTTTTAGTTTGTTCTCACTGTCACGTGAGTTTTATTGTCAGACTTAACCGGCTCAGGAGGCCTTTCAGAATTATAGCCCCCTTGCTCCCACTGCTGCTGGGTAACAAAGGTAGTTTCACTGTACACCTGATTTTCGGTTTAAAATCTCCTGGTGTGTTATTATTGTTGTTGTTGGCATCTTGTCATGGCAGGCGGTCTGCACCCCCGATTAGAACGGTTGGCTACGTACGGCGCGAGTGGTGTGCCGCGTGGCATCGTGTCGGCCGATGGCCTGTGCGGAGATGCTTATTGAAGTCACCTCAACACAGAGCTCTCTTCCAACACGAGGCAGAACAGCTTTCTTGCTCTCCATCAAGAAAGAGCTTCGGCGTGGCAGATTGTAAAGTTTCGTGCTCAGAACTGGCATAAGCTGAATCGAGCCAAAACCAAATTAAACGTTGGGAGTTTCTTTTAAGCGCAGCGAATGCTTCACAGAATCAAGGGAATTAATTCGCTCGCAGCTCGCTCACCAAGTGGCCCGGTTTCGCTGTGACTGGAACCCGGATTTGAACCTAGGCTCTCATTTGTCGTTGGCTTAGTGCTTTGACGTGGCCATTGAGACCCTCTTGAGCCACGTGACCAGCCACGTCTGCTTCACCTGCGCACCTACCTCAAAGCCCCTGGACATGTCTTTTTTTGTCCTCACTAAACTCCACCACCTGCAGCAAAGCATTATCACCCACGAGCAAAATAACTAAAAGACCGTTCTATTTGTTTGCTTAATAAGGTTGCTGTTGTTACACTGCGACCTTTAATTTATTACCCCTCGAGAAAAATGGGTGGTTCGAGTTGCATTCACTTTGGGAATGGTAGCATCTCTCTCGGGGGTCTTTACAGCGATGCCCCCCCCCCACCCGTGCCCACTATTTGAGAGGTCGATCCTCTGGGTGGCTGAGCAGTCATTCAAGCATTCATTACAGCCGATGCCTACAATGACACTGCACGTCCCCCATCGCTTCCTTCCTGCTGCCAGATCTCAGTCGACACTCGGTGGTCCACCCTTACGGCCGTATCCCCATATGTCCCTTTACCTTGGGGGTACGGGCTGCTCGAATATTAGTCGCTTGCCCCCCCCCCCCCCCCCCCCCCGCTTTCTCCGATTGTGCCAATGTTTGGTTAAGCGTCTCGCAGCACAGATGCACGATCACAGATGGGCTTCAGATTCTAAACGTCGTGGAGTTTTAAGGTCGGCTTAGGACCGTCGTGTGGATTTTTCGGGTGGTTCGCCGTTGCGCACGAGTTTCACAACATCTCCGCGTCGACGGCCGTGGGAGTTGTACGGCGGCAGCGTCGTTGCCCGTTAAGCGGCACGGTTCCGGTCAGCCCGAAGCTAAACAAAAAGATTCGCGCCGTCTCGAAAGTCGGGGTCGATGGGTTCCAACTGTCGTTTGCGTGGGTCTCGCAGCGCTGGGACTCAGCTTGCAGCTCGCGAGAGAAAAGAATGCACGGATCAGTGACTAAGATCCAGCTTCTGTTTGTCCATTTTAGGGTTGGACACCTCGTTTGGCCATTAGCTGATAAAGCCACGATATTGCTGATGAGGCTCGGTAAAGTTGAAACCTCGTTGAAGTTGCCTTGCGTTCTAAAGGAATGCTTGCTTAGAACGCTTATCAGATTGGGGTGATGGGATAAATATAATGAAATGTAAGCAATTTAAACAACAACAAACAACTCTTTACGTTGCTCTGTAGGTTTTTGCGCCTGTGCTGTATTAACCCCGTGATGTGTTTACGGGGTTGTGCTGCACGGCGTGATGTCCAACTTTTCACTGGGAGTTTCCCAGGAATGTAATTGAAGAAGTAGCTGTCTCAGCACTCGGGAGTGAAACGTCGGACGTCACACCGAACGACGCACAATATAAATCCGAAAACACGTCCGGAAGCTTTGCTCCTTGCATTCTTATCACGATAATCACTCGAGGATCACCAACAGAGGGATTTTAATGTTTTTTTTTTGTCTAAACCGTGCAGGCAAGCTTCCGCAAACTTTTCGGCGGAGTATTTCGATTCCGAACAGGCCTGGCTGCCGTCTTGGGAGCTCTCCGTGCCTCTACAAAGCTCGGAATTGTAAACAAATCAGAATATTTATTTTTATTGGAGGAATCCGATGAGCTATAAAGCTCTTTTTTCGCACATTTCCAGTCGGGGCGGGTAAGAACGTTACAACGACAAACAATACAAAAACATGATAGTGCAAGTACAATTATGGTAAACAAATCACCATACATATACAAGTAAACCATCCACATCCTACCAGGCAAAGCCCACTGAGGTATTTCAGAAGCGACCTGGCCACAAATGGTAGTTCAACAAAATGGCTTCTGATTTGGACATTTATAGCAAAATAATCTAAGTAGTCTAAATATGTGATGTTAATTCTAAATGTGGAAGGAGAACCCGGAGGAAAAAAATCCACGCGACCACGTGCAGAGAGAGAGAGAGAGAATGTGCAAACAGCATATATACAGCAGGCTTCAGGGTCGGGATCAAACCCACATCCAGCTGTATACCTGGTAAGGTAGTTAACATCTCCGCCACCGCGGCGCCCCAAGTGGTACATCCACGACTTAGCTGGACCATGCGAGCACGCAATGGTGAAGCAGGGCAGCCCTCATTGCTGCCGAGGTTATATTTTTTTACGACTGCCCATTACCAGTATATTGGGCGCGATCAGTTTGACTTCTGCAACGAGACTGTGCGGCCTTTGTGGCGATAATTATTTTTTACAACGTGGGACCGGTCTGCTGACGGGAGTGTCCCGCACGTCCGCAAACGTTACCTCGGCCAATGCCTGTTTGCCCTCAGCAGTCCTGCGCCAGTGGTGTAAATTCCACATTCCTATGATGGGGGCCAAGTCCATGGGGTAGCACAAGCGCTCTTGACTTCTCGCAAAGTGGTCCTAATCGTATTGGCCCCAGAGGGATGATGATGATGACAATTATGATTACACTGTGGGTCGACCAACCAACTGAGATTCGAACTCGTGTGTTTGCGGTTGCAAGTCGAGTGCTTTCACCGCTTCACCTGAATGCCTGCAGTCAAATATTATGGGGGTGGAGGGAGGAGGGGGGAGATTAATACATAATGAATTTGGCAAGCATGTTACATGGTGAACCGTAAAGCAGTCAGACCTGCTTCAATATGCGCCCCGACTCGTTTAGCCTCCCGTCATCGTACCCCTCCCCCACCCACACATGTTTGATTTAGTTCATACAGTTGGTTGTTGGTGCTTCAAAAGGCAAGGCAAAAAGAAAATAGATTTTCGATCTTAATGTTAGGTTGTTTTCAATGGCGGAGCCAGGATGTTCAGGTGGGGGGGGGGGGCAACCCCTCCAGCAATGAAAAATGATAGAGGAGTTGTTAGTAAGTAAAGAGTTGTTATTAAGTAAGGAGTTGTTAGTAAGTAAGGAGTTGTTAGTAAGTAAGGAGTTGTTAGTAAGTAAGGAGTTGTTAGTAAGTAAGAGGAGTTGTCCCTTGCTTTTTATTCGACGCGTGTGCGGTGATGGCACAGCCATCGATCGAGGGTCGAGTTCGAACCGCGTTGTGTGATGAGCACCGCGCTCGCCGAAGGTGAATGCCTTCAAAGAAGTCGTGTGCTGTATACGCAACTGCGCACAATTCTGAGTCACTTGTAACTGCTTTGCCGTTACTTATTGCCAATTATGGGCTCAGACTATTGTCCTATCATCTCAGAGTCCCTGACACGTAATGATATGCTACACAGTGGCAGTGGGGGTCACAAAATGCCGATTTATTACTAATACACCCCAGTGATCAAAACAAATTCTGGATTTCGATCGGATCATTGGGGAGGCACGTGCCCACCCCGCCCCACTGGCTCTGCCAGTGTTGAGAACGAAATTCGATATTGATGTGTCAGCCCACGCCTTTTATCGTTCGCACCAACCCAACCCACTCAAGATGTTTGACGAATATTTTTGTTGTCGTTTAATGGACCCCCATCAGTCCGGATCGTAACATCTCCAAAAACCTGCAGCTGTTTGTCTCTCTGAGCGAACCGTGAGATGTTTTCTTCCAATAAGGAGGGGGGAGTGCCCTGTGCAAAAGCGCGTGGTGTGCGCATAAGCCGGGTTCGCTTTTACGCGTGGCACGCGAATCGGCGAGCGTTGTAGAATGCGGTGCGGGTTTCCCTTGCTTCGTGCGGTAGTAGATGCCTTCGAAAACAAAAAGTGGGGTGGGGGAGCGCACAAAGCTGGAACCGCATAAAACGAACCCAGTCGCAAAACCCACAATGCACCACACGCATGTAAGCGCACACAGTACACACACGCTGTTGTGCCACGTCCAACCACATAGCCGCATATAGAGTGAATCAAATCGCATGTCGATTATTTGGGCTGGAAATAGGTTTGCAGCATATACGCAAAATCGTAGAAACCAAACCCGCATAAAACAAGGAAAACCTGTATTTTAATGGGCGTCTACGCAACTTGCAGGTTTTGGCTGGCCACCGGTGAATGCTATACATTTAATCGCACTTAGCAGGATTGCATTTGCTGAGAGAATTACACGGGGCAGCTTGGAAAACTGGTTTGAGCCTTTCCGGAGTGAGAAATCCTAGCCACACCAATGCATTTTGGTGCAGATATCATCATAGTATGCACAGGGAGCCGGAGCAATGGATGTTATTTTGGGATGTCGGCATCACGTGATTGTGAAGTGGTTATTTCCGTGAAGAAATGAAATTGCGTGGGGTGCTACTTAATCATGTTTGATCAATCGTTTTTTTCTGTTGCCATTAGAATGTTGTTGATTGGGTATCGAGACTGGTCTCTGACAGAGTATCCAAAATATAGACCTTACTGGTGTCTGGTGGGGTTTCTAGATTAAACACTGGTCTCTGATGGGTTTTCTAGATAATAGGCGGAGTATCTGTACAAAAAATGACACTGATCTTGAATGGATTCTCTGTGCTTTAGACTGGTCAATGGTTGGATTTGTAAACAACAGACTGACAGACTGGTCTCAGATGGAGTACCCAGACAAGATATGGGGCTGGCTTATGTTCTGTTGACGTCTCTGGATAATAGACTGACAGTTAAAGTGGAATGAAATGGTCCACAGGACCGACCTCCAAGTTGTCCTTCGGCGTGATATAGAATATTTTTTTTCATATCTCTGCATGTGTGTATATATGTGGGGAGTGGTCGTGCAGCGGTTAGCGCTACGCTGCGCTACGAACCGGATTCGATTCCCGCTCGCGGCCAACACTGGTGATTATTTGAACCGGTCCTGGGCCTCCCCTAGGTCGACTCGTCCTCAAATGAGTACCTGGTGCAGTGTGTAAACATCTCCACTAGAGATACAAAGACGGCCGGGCGTGGTGTTGGCCATCCACCCCCTCGTATACCGTACCGGTCTTCATAGGTGCTCGCTAACAGCACTTGCCCCAACAGTCTGGTAAGGCTATACGGGGGTTTTTTTTTTTATTTAGGGTGAGTGCTTGCGCACATGCGCACGTTTTGCCTCTGAGCGTGTACCTTCCACTTCATTTCACAACATCAGTTGGGAGTTTTTGTTCTCCCGGGACTGGTGGTTATATACTTGTAGGGGGCGGGGGGGGAGGTTTTTTTTTTCCTTTTGCACAACGTTGCAGTGTTTACACGCGTGCGTACCGGCGCTACATTCCGTGTTCGGAAGGCCTCCGCGTGGACGATCGCTCCTGTTCGACGTTTCGTTGCATTCCATGGCACTGGACCACAGCTTCGAATTCCTTTTAAGCCGCTGCCCAGTGGCGCAGGTGTTTAGCTCAGGCTCCCTCAATATTGGCCAGTCTTGAGCTTTCATCTCCGCTTCACTCTTAAGGAGGGGGAGGGAGGGGGCTCCCCCGGTGGCTCCTCCGGTGGCTCCTCTGGTGGCTCCCCCCTCTACCCCCTTCTGTCAATCGCCAAGCAGCATTTTACTGTTTGTGCCTCTTGGCATCTTTACCAACATCCTTCCTTCAAGAACTGTCTTCATCCACCTCTTGGGAATGTGCTCGATCCACACGTTTTGCCTTTTCTGAATTGCTCCGATTAGTCTCTTATCTTCTTGAACGCGCCTCCTTAACCTTGCCCTTAATTATTGTCACAGTTATGAATGATGGCGCTTTGTTTTGGTTAATGTCATGCACCTAATTATATTTTAAAATTACGTTTTATTCCGGTGGGGGTGGGGGGGGAGTTCTGTTTTTGTCCGAGGAAGCGAACACGCGTCACACGCAATATAAAGTGGATATTGTTAGGATTCACAATAGACAGCAAAAGGTTGGCATCAAGGTTAGGGTAGATATGAAGAAAAAAATGCGTATGTGCAAATACCAACTCCTGTACCAGTCACCATTTAAAACAGAATGTTCCGTGTTAATGGCATTCGTTGGATTATTGGATGTACAGAGGCACTTTTTCTTACACCAAAACAATTGTTTTCGGACAATTTATTTCGGCAGTTTAATAAATGAGACGAGAATTGCTCACGTGAAAACAAATAAAATCATCGCCACATTCGCCGCTCAAACTAATAACGGCAAAAGTTATACAGTAATTGGCTTCAGGGGAGGTCTTCACCCAGCAGTGAATTGATCATGGCTGATGATGAATAGTTTAGGTTTTTCCCCCAAGTGAGAACTCAAGGGACCAGCATGCGTCTTTTTTGCAAGAGTGACCTTGAGACA